GAGCCTAAAAACTCTCCTATGTCCCAGACCCCCACCCCACACAACAGGCTTTGTTACCCCAGCCTGCCATTACACACCCCGTTGTTGGTCACTAACAGTCCCCATTAACAACTATTCACCCTCCCAGCCTGATCGTTAGCAACTCCTTTGTCTGTCCAACTGTCTTTCCCTCTCTTTGGGCTCTTTCCTTTCATTTACCCCCTACCCCACCCACTTCCCTATTTTCTGCATATAAGTTGACATCTTCCCAGCCACCACCAGTTCTGAAGGGTCACCGGACCCGAAACATTAACTGCTCTTTCCTTCACAGATGCTGCCAGGCCTGTTGAGCTTTTCCAGCAACTTTGTTTTTATTCAGTTATTCTGCCATTTAAAAGAAAAAAAAACAAACATTCATGAGATGGTGTATCGCTGGCTCGGCCAGCATTTATTGTCCATCCCTAATTGTCGAGTGGATAATTAAGAGTCAACCACATTGCCGTGGGTCTGGAGTCACGTGTGGGTCAGACACTGCCATTCTTAAAAAAAAAGGGTGTTAGTGAACCAGATCAGCTTTCCCAAAACATACAATTGGCATGATCATTAGGTCTTCATTCCAAATTTTTATTGAACTTAAATTCCACCATCTGCTGTGGCAGGATTCAAACTCAGGTCCATAGGACGTTACCTGGATCTTTGCATTAACTGTGCAGTGATAATACCATTAGGCCATTACCTCCCCAATTGTTACTGCTCCAGTCTCCTTTTCCAGCAGTCCAATTACTACTCTTGCCTTGTTCATCTTTTATATATGTCTAAAAAAACTCTTGCAATCTTTTTATATTCCCACCTATTATATAATCCTCATATTCCATTTTCTCTCTGCCTTATCATTTTTTAGCTTATCTTCTGCTAGTGTTTAAAAAGGCTTCCCACATCTCTGGTTCCCCACTAGTCCTCACGTAGGCTTTTCCTGTCATAGTTACGCTGTCCCCGACTTCCACCATCAGCCATGGTTGCCTCGTCCTTCCCTTAGTATATTTCTTCTTCCTTGGGATGGATTTCTGACTGCACATTCCGATTACTGCTAGGTGGTCTGTACAGAGCTCCCATCAGGGTCTTTATTCCTTTGCAGTTCCTCAACTCTCCCACAGATTCTCTACCTTCTGACTCCAAGTCTCTTCTTGCTATCGACTTAATTGCATTTGTTGCTAACAAGGCAATTTCGTCCCTTCCGTCCCTTTTAAATTGGAAGTCTATTCAGTTCCCAGTCCTGATCATCTTGCAACTACACGAGGTACCCACAACGCTGAAATTGGCTGGTACAATCTGCACTACAAGCTCATCTACTTTGTTTAGCATATGGTGCATGTTCAAATACAATGCCCTCAGTCCTGTGTTGACTGTATTCCTTCTCACAGATGTCCCCAAAGTTAGATTCCTGAGCTTTTTAATCCCATCCAATTACTTGTCCTGGAAACGTTAATGACCTCTTGAGTACCCACCCCTTTAACTTTTTAGTGGTATTATCACTGGACTGAGTCCAGAGACCCAGATAATGTTCTGGGGACCTGGGTTCAAATCCCACCATGGCAGATGGTGGAATTTGAATTCAATAAATATCTGGAATTCAGAGTCTAATGATGACCATAAATCTATTGTCGATTGTTGGAAAAAACCCATCTGGTTCACTAATGTCCTTTAGGGAAGGAAACTGCCATCCTTACCTAGTCTGGCCTACATGTGACTCCAGAGCCACAGCAATGTGGTTGATTCTTAACTGCCTTCTGGGCAATTAGGGATGGGCAATAAATGCCACCGAGCCAGCGACGCCCTCATCCTGTGAATGAATATAAAAAAAAATTTTCCATAATTTTCCATGCAATTAAACCATCATGGGAAAGATGCTACAGAAACAAATTGCTGGAGAATCTCAGCACATCTGGTAGCATCAATGAGAAAGCACAGTTCATATTTCAGGTCGAGTGGCCCTTCTTCAGAACAATTCAATGGGGTCCGAAATGTTTAAGTCTACTTTCTCTCCATAGATACTGCCAGACCTGATGACTTTCTCCTGCAAATTTTCTGTTTTTATTTCAAATTTCCAGTATCCACAGATCTTTGTTTTAATTTTATAGGAAAGACGTCAACAAAATCTTAACCAAACCGACCTCAATCTCATCACTTCTGTTTGCTTGAGTGTGAGTTTTTTTAAAAACGTCCTCATAATTTAACCCACTGGGGCCCAGTGTATGGCCAGCAAACCTGCAAGCCAAACTTGAGGTGCAGTGCCCAGAGGAGGTTCATCCCAAAATCAAAATGCTTCAGCCGGAGGTAACAGAATGCTACCAGTCCTTTTGATAGAATAAGCAGACGATTTTTGGCAATTACGATTTTAAAATTTCAGTGCCAATAGTCATTAAACCCATTTGCTGTGGTATGAAGAGACTTTGCATTTAAGACTGCTGTTGGGGGTGGGGAGGGAATGTGGTGGTGGGGGATTTGATCAAAGGATTCTTTGGGAAAAAAAATCCTATTGGAGGATGTTCTTGGAGTAGTTTTTGCAAAACAGATCGTTGAAAGCTCACTATAGACATTGGAGATTTTGTTTTTAAAAAACAAGGCTTAACGCATGACTGGAGATATTTGCTTGCTTTGCTGTAGACCTTGATGGAGGCCTTTTACTTTTGAACAGTACTGAATTGATGAGGCTGTTTTATCTGTTCAGTTGGAGGGAAGCCTGCTACAAAAGTGGAGTTGGAGGAAAGCTTACTTAGAACAAGCAGCCCAGCTCATCTATATCCTTTCTAGAAAGAAAACCCTCTCCATCTGTTCAGGGGAAACCTATTCTGTTGAAAGGCTGACGGCTTGCTTAGGAAATGCAATGTCAGCAAGACTTCAAAGTCAACGGTGTCTGATTTGTGACCTAATCATGTGCCAGAACATTGCATCAACAGCTTCTCGAACATCCCACACTTTATCCTTTTGCCTTCCATAACAATCCACTGGTCAAATGCTATTATTTCAGAAATTCAAATCTCTGAAAAACAAAATCATTTCCTTTTTTGCTTTTTCAGAAGACTGTGTGTTGAAAATATTTGAAGAGATGTGTTTATATTTCAATACTACTGAATGTGTATGCTAACCAATTATAAACCAATAGATGCATTTAATACACCAGCTCAGATATTGTTTAAAATCTGATATAGGCAAGGTATTTAAATTAGTCATATTGGTAACTAGCAAAAACTATTTTCAGTGGTGTTTGCAATCCATGGAGTAGTGAGACTTGAGCAATGGTACACTCCTCTGGTGTCAGACATTTCACAAAATGACTGATGCTTCACAAAATTAGATATTCAAATATGTGTGAACTTGGTCAGAAATTGCAATCAGGTCAGGAGGTCAGGTTAGTGGCCATATTTAGGCCAGAATGGCAGATTTACTACTTCCCCCCACCCCAACAAAAGGAAGTGAACCAGCTGGGTTTTAAATCATAATTGAGGATAGTCTCAGTAATGGTGACCACAAAACTAGCTTTCAAACCCAGATTTTTATTAATAAGTTTAAACTTAATGTGAGATTTGAAACAGTGTCCATCGTGCGTTAGCCCGGGCTCTGTGTCGCAGGCTATGTAATATCATCACTATGCCAGTGTCTCCCCAAAAGGTGCATTGTTATTTAGAAGATGAACCAAAGTAACAATTCAGGAAGTTAATTTAGTGACAATAAGACAATGAAATGATTATTCCGATTTAATTTGGCTTAATATAATTTATGATAATTATGCAAGTCAAAATGTAGTTCCTGTTTAATTTTTAGAAAATTAGTTGATCTTTGGTTTGATGCCCCCAATTTCATTTCTTTCTGACTACTCTCAAAACAGGCTTCATTAAACAAAAAGGACTCCAGATCCATGATCAATTGGAAGGAAGTCATTCAGAGCAATTGAAGCTCTGCACCAAATGTATTACAATGGACAAAGTCCTGATATAACACAAATAACGCAATGATAGCAAGAACTGCTGATGCTGGAGTCTGAGATAACAAGGTGTGGAGCTGGATGAACACAGCAGGCCAGGCAGCAGAGGAGCAGGAAAGCTGCCATTTCAGGTTGGGACCCTTCTATAAGAGCAAGTGGCAGTGGCAGTGTCAGTGGCCCTCCCTCTGAGCCAGGAGACCCAGGTTCAAGATCCACCTACTCCAGTGGAATGTTATAAAAGGAACAAATAACGCAAGATGTGGATTCAGTGCACTGCACAGCACAATCTTCTGCACACTTCACTACTATGTTTTTTCCCCAAAAACTATTGGCATCTCCTGTCTGGATTAAGAAAGCTTACCACGTTCAGAAGCATGATGATACAGAAGTTGATGCACACTGCAGTTCCTGTTGTGGCAAGCTGGGAATTGTTCCGAATCAGAGCCCACTCAAACGCAGCAAAAATGCTCACAGTCACCACCCGATAAATGACAATTCCAAACACAGCAGCAATCACCACACAGATCTGAGAGAGGAATTGGAGACAGATAGGTCGGATTCATCAATTAGCTGGAACGTGATCAGTCTCCATTCAAGGGGGAGGGAAGGGCTGATGCGCAACTCTGGAAAACTTAACCACTAACTCTCCCCCTAACCAGTACAACGGGATTACCTTTACCACATGAACTACAGCAGCCCACAAAGACAGTTCATCACCGCCTTCGAAAGGGCTAGCTAGGAATGATCAATTAATGCCTGCTTCACCCGAGATACCCGAATTCCTATGCCTCCACATCCTCCCTTGTGGTGAGCAGCTTTAGGAACAAGAGGTCCACAGCCACAGGTTTATCCAAACATGACACTGACTCTATGCCACGTCATACATTACTGTGAACATACTAACACTATTGCTAATATTTTCTATTTTGAGACTTTCTGGCTGTTTTTCTGATGTGGCACATCCTTGAAAGAGGGGAAATTAATTTATCCTAGCTGATTGGATAAAAAGTTTCAACAATCCTATAAACTTGGGTGGAGAAAAGCTTCAATGGAAATTCTTCAAATTCTCAACTCATGTTCAGGAGTTGTGAACTATTTCGAATCCAGTGTGATAATTCCAAGAATCAGAAAATGAGTTGGAAATTTAAATCCTGCCAAACTGGTCAAAATGGACAATGAATGGGACTGCGTTTTTCACTTCAATCAAGGATTATCTACAATTATTAATGTGAACACAGCAGGGCAGAGGGAAGGATCATCCAAACTCTTGGTACACAATGATAACTTGTGACATTTTTCTACAGCTCCACACTGCAAACAGGGCACAGAAGCACTAAGGTTGGGACTAGGACGAAGAGATCCCTGCTATTGGGAAAAGATTGACTAAGCAGAGCTTTTTTCTTTAGAAATGAGAGAGGTTAAGAGGCAAGTTCATCCTCGTCTCCAAAACAATAGAGTTGGGTGGGGGAGAAAATATTTCCATTTGTGAAGGAATCAACAACTTAAGCACAAGGTAGCTCCTAATAAATCAAACAGGAAGAAAATAGCTTTATTCAGAGTGTGCTAGAATGAGGAATACACAATGACAGACAATTTACTTAGACACTTTCAAAACACAAGTGCATAAAGGGAAAGAAAAATTCATGGGTATTCAAAGAATCAACTGCAGAGAAATGGGACATTCAGCCCAACTACTCCGTATAAGTGTTTATACATTGCACTGATATCCTCCCATTCCATCTGCATCGTCTGGACTTCTTCAGGATATCTGTCAACTTTTTCCCCTCTTATGCACTCTAGGTGTTCTATGCACTTGTACAGAATAGTTGGGCTCAACGTCCCATTTCTCTGTAGTTGATTCTATGTAACACAATGCCCTGTAACTAACCATGAAGAATATTCCAGAAGCTGATACAATGATTCTGCTGCATTTATCAGTGAAGGCTTGATAAGGCTCTGGTTTTCCCGATATAGGATTCACACGTTCCTTCTTGGAATATTTTGCTTCAAACTGGGGACGGATTTCTTCCTGCAGGAGAAAGATAAAGACATTCAATTTCCTATCCTCTTGTTGGTTCAGGCTCTACAAGAGGCTACAAGTGGATTTGGAATTTCTGACTTGTGCTGAGGTTAGGTTATCATCTAAACTAGGAAAAAACGAAGTTCACCCTATGACTGCAGTATCCAATGCAAACAAACACAGACAGCTACTAACAAGTAGTGGGACATGCTGCACCATCAACCAACCTGCAGCCACACACTGCAGCTGTGGCTCTGTGGGGAAACACACTTGTCTCAGTCAAAAGTTGTTGGGGACATGCGCCAGATCAGAAACCAGAGCACAGAATCCAGCCTGGCACTCCTAATACCAGTAATGAGGAATGCAACACCGTTGGAGATGCCACCTTTTGCTTGACTTTAGTGAATTAAAGCTCTGGTTATTCCAAGTTGGCATAAAAATCAAGGTGTTATTTCCAGAAAAGGAAGTGATGCTCTTCTTGGTGTCCTGAACAAGGTTTGTCCCCCCCAACTAAAACAAGGGCACTCAAACAGCATGTGTTCCCTCCACACAGACTATCCGATAGCTCAGCGTTCTCTCCATACTAATCCCCACCACCTCCTGCAATGACAGTGTGGCACTCCCTCAGCACCAATCCTGCCACCCTCCCCCGACCCCCAGCAGCATGGCACTCCCTCAGGACCAATCCTGTCACCTCCCCCCACCCTTGCCCCAGCAGCATGGCACTGCCTCAGCACACAACAGTGAGCACTCTCAAGTACTTGAGACTTGAACCCAAAACCTTTTGACTCTGTGGAAATAGCAGGGTTTGTCTGTTGAACAAAAGCCAGACAAACAGAAGTAAACTTATCAATTTTGGCCCTCACTATTTAATTGGTGCTTTGGCTCAAAAATGTCCTTTGGATTAAAAATCAAACAAGTGATAGACAGACATTCACGTTCTACAGTCACGTAGCACGAACCTCCTCCTCTTCCCAGTCAATCAAATCCCAGTCGTAGGCAATAACTGCTCGCCGCCGTTTCCAAAACTCCAGGAAGACAGTCGCTAAAGGTGAGAAACAGATGGAAGAGGTGGTTAAACTCCAACTCAAAATACTGTAGTGAATAGAAAGTGTCCTCATTCAGTTAGTTTCCTTTTCAGAAGCAAAGGCAATCTGAAGGGGACCCATTTATCTTTTCCAGAGGAATTAAAATGTTGTCTTGATTTATTAATCATTAACAGATGAAAAACTTACTCAGTGTTTTCCTTACACCATGGGGTATTATTGTCATATCAGCTGTAGTGTTGGACAAGTCAGATCCAAGTATAAAATTTATGGTCTATCAAACCAAGTTTCATTTTGCAATTTGGTTACTATTACGGGCCAGACAAAACCCCATCAAAATATATTAAGAAGATTGTCTAGACTAATATTCTTATTTTAAGAGGCATGTGTAAAGCATTGCATACCAGATGCAATTCGATTGGTCAAACTCTCGACTTGAAGCAAAACACTATTTTACAGTACAGTTAAAACATCGACAAAATAAAGAGAATTGGTTTAACTGTAACTATCAAAATGCATAACAAAATAATGTTACGCAGTCATTAACTGTTCCAATATAGTAACAGTCCAAAACACCCCCTTGGCAAAGACAAATTCAGTAAAATAGATTGTCTCACATGCAATTCTAACAGCAGTAACAGAACCCCAGCTTTTAGCTGTGGCAGACAGAGGGGAATAAATGCTTCCACATCCAGCTTCAAGACCCCAGCAACTGCAAAAAGCCAACACTAAAGAATCCTGGTTCTATGGGAGCTTGACTCCACCCATTCATGCTGCTTCTATTGTTCCAACTTATTTTTAAAATATCCAAGGCCTCAAGGTCTTTAATCTACGTTGGCTTTGAGCAGACCACTCAGCATCTGTCTCAACCTTTCTTAAAGAAAAACCAGGACAAAATACACCTCTTAATGCCATAGTATTGTCATAGTTAGCATGATGATCAATCACTGAACATGCTCAGAAGAGACTGCCAGTGCACTTTTTCACAAAAAGGCAAAAACGTTATTATGTAGAAAACTGTTTGGGTGTTGGAGGGGGGTGGGGGAACACCAAATATTTGATACTAAAGAACAATTTTAAGTGGTCTTTGAAATATTAGAAATAAAAAGACTTAATCCTTTTACCTTTAGCAACAACCTTGCAGATACTCATATCTCAGTGAAGGGTCACACTGTTTCCATTTTCAAGTTCCAAGATCCTTCTTCAGTGACATTGTTGTATTTGTTTTCCTTCTAGCAACCTTCTGCATTTACTTGATGCCATTTCTTTAGTCAATGGCTCAGTTCCTAGGGGTCACTGGACATGCAATGTTAACACTGCTTTCTCTCCACTGTTTAAACGACCCTTGCTGTGTCAAAGGGCACCTTGTTGCTAAGAAATAGCCTTTTCACCTCCACCCCCCTTCTCTTCTTGCTGCCTTTGCTCAGGAACAATTTTCAAGATCCCAGTTAAATACATGTCGACAAGTTTACATACATCCCAGCACCATTCACAGAATGATCCAAAATGAAATTAAAACACCTCCCATTCTTAATCCGTACAATATAGAAATACAAAAATCAAAGCTTACGTGGCTCTAACTACTTTTAGAACCCAAATTCGAAACCATATCATGAACCTTTGTCACAATATTATTGCTGTCTGCAAAGTGAACTGCCAGTGTACTTTTCACAAAAAACCAAAACTTTATGGTGTAGAAAACATGTGGGAACATATTCTTGCAGTGAGTTGGGAGATAGAGAGAGAGCGTAGAAAAGATTTGAGGGTCTAATTTTTACAAGATGTGTGCTAGATGTAGAATTGCTATTGCTCTTAAAGATACAAACGTACCCGGGATCCTTGGTATAAAATGGGCTGAGTGGAGAATGGAGTTTAATATGGATAAAATGCGAGGTGTTGCATTTCAGTAAGACAAACAAGGGCAGGACATATACAGTTAATGGTAGGTCCCTAGGAAGTGTTGTCGAACAGAGACCTAGGGGTTCAGGTACACAGTTCTTTAAAAGTTGTAGAGACTGGTTAAGGTAGCATTTAGCACACTTGCCTTCATTGCTCAGACCTGGAGTATAGGAGTTGGGATGTCATGTTGAGGTTATACAGGAAGTTGACGAGGCCATTTGGAGCACGGTACAGTTCTAGCAGCCCTGCCACAAGAAGGATATTATTAAATTGGAGAGGGTGCAGAAAAGATTTACCAGAACGTTGCGAGGACCGGAGGGTTTCAGTTATAAGGTGGTGCTGGATAGTCTGGGACTTTTTCCACTGGAGCATTGAGGTTGAGAGGTGACTTTAGGGAGGTTTATAAAATCAGAAGGGGTATAAATAAGGTCAATAGCAAAAGGTCTTTTGCCCAGGGTGGGGAATTCCAAAGCTAGGGGGCATAGATTTAAGGGGAGAGGAGAAAGATTTAAAAGGGACCTGACGGGCAACTATTTCAGAGGGTGGTTCGTATGCAGAATGAACTGCCAGAGGAAATGGTAGATGCTGGTACAATTACAACATTTAAAAGATATTTGGACAGGGACAGGTACAGAGGGATACAAGGGCCAAACGCAGGCAAATAGGACCAGTTTAGTTTGGGGAAACTGGTCAACATGGACAAGCTGGGAAACAAACACAAAATTGCTGGAAAAGTACAGCAGGTCTGGCAGCATCTGTGAAGAGAAATCAGAGTTAACATTTTGGGTGCACAGCACTGAGGGTAGCTAGGAAAGTGTCCATTTTATGCAGAAGATAGGGTGGGTGGGAGGAGGAGCTCAAGTGAGAGAGCGCAAGTGAACAGTTGGACAGACAAAGGAGTAGATAACGGTCTGTCTAGAAGGGTGCAGAGCTGTTAATGGAGACTGTTAGTGGTTAACAATGGGTTGCGTGGAATAGCACAGTACAAAATGATCACAAAACATCTATACAGTGTGGAGCAGAGGAGCAGGAAAGTCAGTGTTTTGGGTTTACACCCTTTCTCAGGGCTGCAGAGGGGGGAAGGGAGCTTGGAAATTGTGATGGGGGGGGGGTGGAAGGGTTATGCTGGGGGAAGGTAGGTGGATGCAAGTAGCGGGTAGTGGAGATTGATTAGAGGGAAGGGTGGGGTGGATAGGTTGGAAAGAATAACAGACAGGTAGTGTCAGGTCAAGGGAGGTGGGGGATTGGATATGGGATGAGGCTGGGGTGGGATTCTTTAAAACTGGTGAATTCTATGTTGAGGTCATTGGGCTGTAGGCTCCGGAGGTGGAATGAGACGTTGTTCCTCCAGTTTCCAGATGGCATCATTGTGACACTGGAGGCGGCCCAGGATGGACATGTCAACCCAGAAAGTGAAGTGAAACGGGGAATTAAAGTGGTTGGCAACCGGAAGGTGTTGTTGATTATAGTGTACGGAGCACAGATGCTCCTTCAAAAATCGGTCACCGTGTCTGTGCTTGGTCTCACTGATGTAGAGGAAACCACATTGGAAGCAACAGATACAGTAGACCATGTTGGACGACGTACAGGTGAATCCCTGTTGGATTTGTAAAGATTAACCAGGGCCTTGGATGGAGGGGAGGATGAGGTGTAGGGGCAGGTGCAGCACCTTCAACGGTTGCAGGGAAAGGTGCTGGGTGTAGGTGGTCGGTGGGGAGCATGGAGTGGATTACGGAGTCACCCAGAGTGAGCAATCCCTACAAAAGGGAGAGAGGGGTGGGTCGGAAATGCAGTTCTCGTGTGTGGGGGTGAAGGTTAGGACGTAGAATTCAAGCTGTAAAGTTATTGAACTCTTATATTAGAGTCGAGAAGGCTGCAGGGTCCCCAAGTAGAAATTAAAAGGTGCTGTTCTTCCAGTTTACACGGAGCTTCACTGGAGCCCTGCAGTAAGATTGAGACAGAGGTGCTGGCCACAGAACAGGGTGGTGCGTTGAAATGACAGGCAACTGGAAGTTCAGGCATTTTTTGCAGATTGAATGTTGGACCGAAGGGTTTGTTTCCATGTTGTATGGCTCCAAAATATAGGAAACAAAAAAGTATGCTGAGCTTCCTAAATCACTGGTTTGACCTCAACTGGCATATTGCACTGCCAGTAGATCTTAGTAGCCTGCAGTAGACTTTAGGAAGGGATATCAAAGCTGCAGAGCAGATCTACAAGAATGATGCAAAGGATGTAGGTCTTCATTTAATGTGGAAAGACTCAAGAAGCTTAAATAAAAACAGAAGATGCTGGAGAAACTCAGAAGGTCTACCAGCATCTGTGGAAAGAAAGCAGAGTTTGTGGAGTCAAGTTTGACTATTCTTCACAAGCTCCGAAGAGCCCTTGGACTTGAAACATTAACTTTTTTTCTCTTTACAGTTGCTGCGTTTCTCCAGCAATTTGTTTTCATTTCCAATTTTCAACATCTTCAGTATTTTGCTTTTATTCAAGAAGTTGGCATTCTTCCGAAAGGGAAGATGAAGAAAATGGAGATTTGATTGGTATTTAGAATCAGGAGACTTTGACGTAGATTAGAACCCGGTGGTGCCCATAACCACAGAAAGATGATTTAAAACCGATGGCAGAAGAACTAGAGGAAAGAAGAGCCTTTTATTTCTTAAAAAAATTCTAAATTAAAACAATTCAATATGTTGCCTGAAAAAGGTGAAAGTAGATTCAATAGTAATCTGAAATGAATATTTGAAGAGGATAACACTGTAGAGCTGTCCAGAAAGAACAGGGAAGCATGGTTAATTGCATTGCATTGCATTGCATTGCATTGCATTTTCAAGAGCCCACACAGACAAGATAGGCTGGATGGCCTCATTCTGCGCTATATGCTGTGAAGCAAGGGGACAGCGAATAGCCATTTATACGACATGGCAAAAAGACTGCAAATGGAACCTGAAAAGGTGCTGTGCACTTAAATGAAACATGTGGCCTATTAAATGTCACCCCCTTCACAATATTTCCCAAACCTTACAATCTGCCAGACAGCATCTGACTCTGAGGGATCTTTGTTCACTTCCTCTTGCTGCACCTAAACTCAGATCGGTACACGTAACAAGAATTTGTCGTCATACACTTAGACCAAGATGTGGAAGTGCCAGTGTTGGATTGGGGTGGACAAAATCAGAAGTCACATGACTTCATGTGACAGGGTTGCGCTGAAAGTTTGTGATTTCAAATAAACCTGTTGGCCTCCAACCTGGTGTTGTGTGACTTTTGACTTAGACCAAGGCAAGCCTTTTCAAAAACAAAAAAAAAAAAATTAACAAAAAAAGGACTTTAAACAGCTGTTTGCCGATACAGAAGTTGAAGACTGTTGAGGGGGAGGAAAAGGACAATCATTTTGTCAAAGCTTTTCATGATGTACTCATCAGGACAATTCGCAAGAATACCAACTCAAGGAGCAAATCAACATTTATACTGTGCACAAGGGGATGCTGCTGAGTGATTGGAGGAGGCATTGCCAAGGAGAAAGTAATTAAATCAGGATTAACAATTGATATTCTTGAAAATTATCCTGATGAGCACAGTGCAGAAAGTTTGTGCTGTAGAAAGTATTCATCATTATCTACACCCAACTGAGTCCACTCTGTATGACAGAGTGAATATGTAAAATGATAAAATCCCTCCCAGCAAAGAAAGCAGGCCGATTAAAATTGGAGATTCAACTCAAACATATTGTTGGGTAAGTCTGGCCGTGTATGAATAGCTTATATCCGATATGATTAGAATCTTCATATCATGAGTACAGTCGATGGTCGGGTTAATTTTCTCGAAAAATCAGATTTCCCTTAAACAATGGTGGAATGTAAAAAGCTTACAGTAGTCTAAAATCACAGATCAAGCAATTAATGGTGAAGAGCACAGGGAGCGAGTAAAATCAGGTTGATTTGATACTCCTCACCCACTCCAGTTTTGAGTCTTAGTCCATAATTTCATTGTAAATAACAGAATGCTTACCCCACACGGCCATAAAAACAGCGAAGAATACAGTGGCTCCATTGTCAAAGAGATGAGTCACCTGTAAATGGATTCACAAGAGTAATCAGAATAAAGGGAAACAAACATTTACACTGTCAAAGAAGAGTGCTGATTGGTGGGCATGTTAATTCCTCCTAGTTCAGGCATTGCTCTTGTCCATTCAACAGCCATTTTCTGACCTATCCCTCGGGACAATGCCTGGACTCGTATACCTGCCTGGTTCAACATTTAAAACAACTTCGTTTTACTCATTTTATTCGTTTATGGGACATGGGCATCACTGGCTGGGGCAACATTTATTGCCCATCAATTGCCCTTCATCTGAATGGCTTGCCAGAACCACTCAGAGGGAGTCACATCTAGTTCGGACCAGGTAAGGACAGCAGATTTCCTTCCCTAAAAGGGGCGTTTGTGAACCAGATGGGTTTTTACAACAATAAACAATGGTTTTCAACTACAGATTTTTTTCAAAATTCAGATTTCACCATCTGCCAGCATGGGATTCAAACACACGTCCCCAGGACATTAGCCTGATCGGCTGGATTACTAGTCCAGAGACACTACATTACACTACTGCCTCCACTCAAATTAACAAGTCTGTTATCAACTGTTACATTCACCATGGCAACTTCTCTACTAGAGTTCACTTGTTAACTAATCAGTACTCACCTCTCCTACAGTAAAAGACACTTGCTCCTATTTACAGGAATTGTCTCAATAAGTGCAAAAAAAAACACACTTTGCCAGCAATACTCAATAGGCAGAGGAAGTTTAATACCCTGCATGTTAAACACCTAGGTCTGACTTTGTTACAATTGACAGGTAGTTATTGTGAGTAAAAAGGATCAAAAAGTCTAATAGAAGCTGCAAATCTACACAATTATTCATCAACATCTGTTGAGTGTCATGATTTAATGGAATTTGATATCTTACCTTGGCATATACACAGCTGTACGATAACCGCATATAGCGGCAATGCTGGTCACAGAGTGGACACATAATTATTTCTGTTGCTTGGCAGATTTCTTTACTAGATGGAGGAAAGAAGAGGCAGCAAAATCACATTACAGGCATTGAGGCAATACACAAGACTTCAATTACACAACGAGATCTGGAGGAGCCAGGAATGTTCTCCCTTGAGTGAGGCAAGTTAAGGGCTGATTTGATCAAGCTGTTCAATATCCTGAAGGGTTTAAGACAGAGAAAGAAAGATGATGTTTCCAGTGGCAAGTGGGCCAGTAACTACAGGATTGGCAAAAGACTGAGGAGAGAGAAAAGTCTGCATGTTATGATGATTTTGAACACACTGCCTATAAAAGGGCAATGGAAGCAGATACAACTATAAATTGGAATTGGCTAAAATATTCAGGGCTTGTACAGGAATGTAGGTCAAATGGCCTCCATCCGTGGTATGTAAATGGTCCACGCAATTTTCCTTTTTGGACTATAGTGAAATGGAAGGAAGTCAGTCAGTCAGTCATTGCTATACAAGCTAAAATATCAGGCTAGTCTGAGTGTTGCACAAAATCAAATGGTGTACGTTTTTCACCGTGCAAGACAAAGTTACTGTTGAAGCAGTGAGATTGATACATTGAGATTAAGTGGCACAGGAGTTTTTGAGTTGTGAAAATTTGCCAGATGACAGTCCGATTCCAGTTTGCTACAAATCTTTAAAGAGAGAAGTCAGTGAACTCCAGATTCACCAAACAGAAAACATCTCTCTCAGATAGTAGGAACTGCAGATGCTGGAGAATCCGAGACAACAAGGTGCAGGGCTGGATGAACACAGCAGGCCAAGCAGCATCATAGGAGCAGAGAGGCTGACGTTTCGGGCCTAGACCCTTCATCAGAAAAGGGGGAGGGGAAGGGGGTTTTGAAATAAATAGGGAGAGAGTGGGAGGCGGATAGAAGAGGGATAGATCCGCCTCCCACTCTCTCCCTATTTATTTCAAAACCCACATCTCTCTCTCTCTCCACTTCTTGCCAGAGTGAAAATACAAAAAAAAAACAAAAGGCGCATCGTAAGCATGTCCGTGTGGGGTGTGTGTATTGGGGGATTTAAAAAGGGTGTAGTTTGAGTTGCATAGTAATAGGTTAAGTGTGTTTCCTTTTCACTGTTGTGTTAAAGAATAAAAAAAAGTGTTTACACAATCGTGATTAAACCTCTTGATAATTGCTTTTGCCCTGCACAGCAGACAGGCAAAGTGATCTTGGTGGTGTAATCAGGCTTTCACACATTTCATGAGGCCACACTGCTGATCATCAACAGTGTCTTTCCTGATCAAGTCCGAACACCTGCAACACACTGCTTCACAGCAAGGAACATTTGAAACCAACCAAAATAAAACACAACATGAATGGGAGGTTATTCCAGAGAAGGGAAGCGAACAGAAACAAAAAATTTCCTCTTGATAAAATTTTGAAATCTAAAATGAAATGTTGAGATCCTATATTTCTCATTTTTAATAAAGTATGCTTAAAGATGAAATTAATAGAACAACAAGAATGGCCAGAAACAGGTTAGCAAATTGTATCCTCCTTCCCAAATGCCTGTTGGACAACATAAGCATCCAGCTGAATCAACATTAAAAATAGTTTTTTTTAAAATACTAATACAGCTCATTTGTCTCGTGGCTTTTGCAACAAAATTAGATTTGCACTGCAAAGATTGAAAGCGTGTCCATGCTAAGAAAGGGACCTTGGGCACTTTAGCAAGTCAGGAAAATAAAACCAAGAATCAAAAGGCAGCAGAATATAAAATCCATCAGAAAATCAAGAATGTAGCCAGGACTTGAAAATTGCAGCCACGAGGAAAGCTAAGATAGGCTGGGGTCATTTTCCTTTGACTAGGGGAGGCCGAGGGGTTGCCAAATCAAGGTGTACATAATAATGAGGGGGTTTGGATAGAGTGAGCAGCAGAGGGCAATATCATCCTGCTGCAGACAGATCAATTGCCTGGCCACAGATATATAGAAGGATAGAGGGGACATGAGAATAACCTTTTTGCTTAAAAACCCAGAGGGCGGTGGATGTCTGGAATTCGCTGTTCTAACAGAAACCGTCAAATCATTTAGGAAGAGCAGCTAGGTCTACACTTCAGGCATGTAACCTGCAATGCTATGGACTGGGTTCTGGAAACCAGATTAGAACGGGTAGCTAGTTTTTATTTGGCTAGTACAAACACAATGGGCTGAATGGCCTCTGTGCGCTGTAATTTTTTCTCAGGTTCAATGGCTCATTACACACTATACAGCCTGCGAAAGAAGCCATGTTCCTTCACCCGTTTTTCATGTTAAATACCCAGAGATTAGAAGTGTATTTAGGTAATGCCTTTCATGTATCCATGAGATCCCAGAACAGCTTCATAACATACTTCATAAAGAAATAAGTCAAAGTTGGAATGTGGGAAATACTGCAGCCAATTTATGAACAGCAAGCTCCTACAGACAGCATCATAATTACATAACTCGAGTGACATTCTCTGATGGATAAATATTGGTCAGAACTCGAGGAAGAACTTGCCATCTTTAAAATAATAACAAGGTCTCTTTTTACACCGACTTGGAGGGAGATGTGGCCTTGACTGAACGTCTCAGAAAAGATGGTACCTGTGATGGGGTGCTACACTTGCAACTGTCTGCAGTTTTGAAAGAAATAAACGACAAAAAGAAAGAGTCCTTTCCTTGACACATAGGAGCTCAAATATTTGGCGTATCCCATCTGCAAACATAAATTGGGGAACTTGCCCAGACTCTGAATGTAATAGTGACCTACAAGAACCTTCTGGCTTGAACGGTCAATGCCTATGATCAGTTGATGTCCTCAACTCCACAAAGAAAAAAAAAAGTGTCCAAATTCACCTTGCTTTACAGTAACACAAAAAAATTATTCCCACTGAAGTCCAAATCAAACAAAAATCAAAGAGATCACCAAACATAATACCCACACTTACCTTACTTGGCAATAATCCAGTGTGAAAACTCCATACAAAAACACCAGCAAGCCAACAATGGCAGCTGGGAACAGCATTCCAGTGTACCAACCTAACCAGGCAAAGTATAGACCAATCTTCTCACCAAAGTAGCGTCTGCAAAGAAAGGAAACAGATTGTGGTTAAACATGAAGGGATGCTGCCTGTCGATGGAATTTTCAATACAAGACTAATCGTTAAATGAACAGGTAGCGGTTTATTAAGTCAGGGAGGCATTGGCAAATTCACTACAGCAAGGGGCGAGAGAAACATTGACCCTTTGGGTTTCGTCAATGACTCCCTCAACTACACCAAGAATTAAGCTGATCAGAAGCTGCTGGGACTCAGTCTATACTTTGGTTGCTGTTGAAGACAAATGCTAATGCTACTGACAGAATAATAGAGTAAAAAATTTGAAAATTCCTCAGAATTATAGGCCATAGGTGGACCAAACATTTTTAAATAGTTGAAGAAAATGATGTGACATGGTGCATTTATGGAATGAGCTGCCAGAGGGAGTGGAGGAGGCTGGTACAGTTACAACATTTAAAAGGTATCAGGATGGGTACATGAATAGAAGGGGTTTAAGAGGGATATGGGCCAAATGCTGGCAAACAGGAGTAGCTTAATTTAGGATAACTGGTTGGCATGGACAAATTGGACCAAAAGGTCTGTTTCTGTTTCTATGTTGTATATCACTAGGTCAGTATGATTTTTAAAATAAATTATGCAAGTGCAATTGCATTAACAGACAGTTATCCCGATTCTGGTCACATCAATACAAGGTGGATCAGAAGTCATTACGAACCTTCCAGAAGGCCAAGGTCATGTGATCAGATCAGCTTACTGTCTTACAGATGGGACTCGGACCTGTTCTCATTGTAAAGAATGATGTTTAGCCTTGGGTTTCCTCATTCTGCAAAACATCATCGGCTTCTCCTAATTCATAGTTTGTAGCTTTCAATTTTTAAAAAAAAAGTGCCATTAATTCCTTCATGGACTACCCCTTACCAGTGCCCTAGTTTTGAAAGCTCAGCAAATGCAATTGATATTGAACTTCATCGTGAGCATGCTCATGATTTTAAATGCAATGTTGCGTTAATGCAATAACACCCACAATACAGTGCAACACAAGACAAAAAGATTGAAACCAAAGTGAACACCACAGAAACACTGCAGCAAGTTCTAGCTCTCTTATTGAGAGAGCAAAGATGGTTTAAAAATATGCCACAAATTGATTATCAATGCAAATCCAAACTAGTCTTGCACCAGCTTGAAGGTAACCAAGCACCAACTGGTTCCTAAGTGAAGCTGAGAGAGAGCATCACATCCAGGGATTTCGATCCTGACATTTCTGGAATGTGACCATTGCATTACCACAAAAACAAATATCCTCACACTAACATATAACTGCAATGTGAATGTAGTTTTAGCTGCAATTTTCCACTCCTTGGCCCAAGGATCCAAGAGTATGAATTCCAAGACACAGAAGGTGAAAAACGTATTTATACAAATCTAATTCTAAAACATCCAAGCTTAATTCATTCAGAGGGAAGAAGATCATGACAGAGGTGTGGTCACTATTAGCGATCTCTGAGCAGTTAGGGTAGAAGAAAAGTCCTGAAAAGCTCAAAAGTCAGTGGAAGGAATTTCAGAAATAGACAGTTCTGACCGTATCAGAGAAGACATCCTGGAACACTAGAGAAAACATGGAGATTATGGAACCCATGGTAAGTAATGTTCAGCTGAGGTAGCTGCTTGTTTTAAGGGTCTCCAGGAGAGACATTCACTGAAGAAAATTGTGAACGTGCAACAATTTGCCACATGGAAACAAACTACAGTTGCATCAGCCCAGTGTGGAGATATGTAGTAACTCCTCAGAGGCCCGAGTGTCTATAGGGATAAAAAAGGTATGAATCTTGGATATTTACAAAGGAGATAATTTCACAAGTCCTTGTACCATTTGACATAGTTTGTGTTTCTATATCTTGTAATAAACTTGTTTTGTTAAAAAGGTACATTGAAAACATTCACAAGACTGCTAGTCACTGACCTCTACAGTAAAAAAAACAAGCTAAATTTCATTCCGACTAATCTAGTACTACATCAGCCGAAATCACCGAGGACATTCAAACCTTTTTCTTTTTAAAAAAAAGCATTTCTTAGAAGTCACATGCCTCGTGCTAACTGTCAATCTATCCACTTGCCTGGGTTTCTGCTTTGAATATTGTTTGGATCAGTCGGGACAAAGTTTGCTGAAGATAAGGAGCTTCCTGGCTCTGCTCTTTCATTTCAGGATAGGAACCTTTGTGGGCCCAGTGTGGTACCCGAAGCCCTAGTCCAGTTACTTGCATGAGAAGATGAACAGTTTGTTCGTATTTCCGAATCACTGTCTGCTACAGATTCTCAGCCAGAATTGTATATATTCAGTTACGTTCGATATTAGCAAATACAAGTTTGTTGATTTATAATACAAGATATCTGTTTGGTGGATCATTTATTCAGAGACTGACAGAGAAAGCATACAATTGGCCAAATCAGGAACCAGGTAAAACATTTTAGGTTAATATTGTGACCGATGGGGTAGCGGGACAGTGGGACAGTGCACACCTCTGATCCTGATCATATCACTGCTAATGGTTCTGAAACAATGCAATGAGTTGGTTGATTGTTGATACAATAAACAGGTGATCAGGAGCTACAGATCATAATGCAGAACTATCAAAAGCAAGTTATATTGTCAAATTCAGACTCCGCTCTGCTCAGTGACCATAAGCTTCACATACATTAAACTTCAGTGGCCTCTTATAGGCACCAGTTTTGCGTCTCACTGCCACACAATTTCAGTTCAATCTGCAACACCATTTTTGTGAAGATATACGAGTGCTCTCCAAATATTGATCTGTGCCTTAGAACTGGAATAGCTTTCTACATTCTTTGAGTCTACCAACCAAAATATTTTGGGAAGTTGCCAAAAAGAGCAACATGTTGAAGTTTCTCATCTTGTACTCTTCGGGATGTAGGTAGTAGTGTTAAAATTTCAAGGCATCACAATAATTTATACTATATGAGAAAACGATGCCGATTGTTTGGGCAACCAACTGTGGTGGGCTAAAACGTGTCACAGATAAAGCAATAGGTAACAAGATTAATGAAAATGGTACCAAGAATGGGAGACTTTAATTACATGGAGAGACTGCAGAAGTTGGGATATTCACAAATAAAACAGCAGGTTAAGGATGCAAAAAAAAGTGTTTGAAATCATGAAGGTATGACACCTTAAGACCAGGAGAAGCTGTTATAGTGGGGCCAATAAACAGAACACAAATTTAAAGATAACTGGCAAAAGAATTGATTGGGGGTGGGGGGGGCAGAGGAAAAACAAGTAAGGAATGCAGCAAGTGATGATCTAGAATACACTACCTGAGAAAGATTATTAAAACAAAGTTCTATGGTAACCATCAAAAAGGGAATTAGATATACATTTCAGGTTTATGAAGGATAAAAATTGTGCAGACTGGGAGTAATTGGATAGTTCTTCCAAGAGAGCTTTTTTGTGTGCTTTTATTTTGAACTTGGTGCAAAATGGGAAAGGACTATGAAAGGATTTGTTGCACTTTGAAAAAAAGTTATGGAATTGAGTAGCGTTTAAACTGCTCTTTTCAAGCAGCAGAGGGAGCTGTTTGCCACATAACAGCAACAAGAATCTGTCTCTGGATGAAACCACGCCAATTGAAAAACCAAATAGGACAAGTCGTGGAAACCACGATCATCAGTATAACTAAACTCAGCATGTGGCTCCTGAACACATGGACAATACAGAGGCTGAAGGTTCCAGACTGCAAGAGACAAATTTTTTCCCCTCTCTCTGCAGTGAAGTAAACAAATTGTGAAAAATAGCTAGCCATTCTCTCCCACCATTTGTATTAGTTGTTGCCTCTAACCAGTGACTGGGAAATCAAATTAATTAATGTGTTAACCCACCCCATCCCATACTTTTAGCAAAAAACCTTAGAAAAGGTGTTGAGGTTGGTTGGCTCGCCAAGCTGGTTTGTTGTTCCGCAGACGTTTCGTTACCGTGCTTGGTAATGTCCTCCGTGCAGCCTCTGATGAAGCGTCGGTGTGTTTTCTTGGCTTCGAAGGAGCCAAAAGTAGGCACCTAGTTGAATCTTGTAGATTAGAGCTATTGAATAGTGTTTCCCAATTTTTTTTCTCTATCCATTATAGAGATTGCTTGTCTGGCTCCATCTGTCAGCAGGTTGTATTGATAATTCATACTTTTGATCGTGTTTAGAATGGATTTGTATGGAAGTCTATCGGACAGGTAAATTGAGGACTTTGATGACCCCAGCTTTAGTGGGCTAAAATATCAGTGCATTTTCCCAAGAGACACCCAAGTGACCATCTTTTGTGCTAAGATAGACAGAGAGTGGTGGCGGGGGGTGGGGGCACGAATCATTCGTGCAATAACAACGACTGCTTGACCAAATGTTGCAGGAGATTAAAGGGGTTACCTGATCAGGTCGAGTGGCTGATATTTGTACCACACGCCCCACCAGGCCCAGCACTCGAACAGCAGGTGACGGTGGTTCACTGCTCCATGAGTCTTAATGGAATTTTTGCTTCTGTAGCTTCCCTGAAAAATGCACATTTAAAAAAAAAGGTGTCAAATTGGGTTCAGCAATTCATTGGCTATTCCAGACTTTAAATGCAGTATTTCACTTTAGACAACACGGCTTATGAATAAAAATTTAAATTAAAACAAATTTTTAATTTAATTTGGCACCTCAAAAGTGCAGGATTAGTGCAGTTAAGCAAAGTACACTCCCTCTCATTTAGCTACCCGTAAACTATCAAAAGAAAAGCAGACGTTAAAAAATTGATTTTAAGCAGGTTCCACTTGTAAAAAAGGAACTGTGCCTTTATTATGGGAATGACTGCAAAACATGCGCAAAAAGAGCTAGTGCTGTCAGATCACATGGAACTAGAGGCGAGTCTGTAGGCCTCTGGGTAAGATGTCCTCTGTATTGAAGTGTTTAATAAGCTGGTTGCTATTCATTTAAGATGCAAATCTTGACGTAGGGAGGTAGAGGATGCATGAAAACAACCATTAAAACCAACACGAGAAGTGAATCAATTTCAGCACCGACATGGCTATTAACCTAAAGCACTCTGCAATGATATCCGGTGATTTTCCGGAGTTCACTATTCACTGGATTAAACCTTTCAGATTGAATGAACATTGCGATTTCTTATCTGAAAACCAGACTGGCCTAATTCCCACAGCTTCTGGACTAGACAGAGAGAGTGTACCTATAAAATTTGTAATTTTACAATGCAAGACACCATATATTTACCTCATGAAGCGGGAACGCTGCCTCATAGGTACTGTTTCCAAGTAAACGATTGAGTCCTGTGGAAAATGAATATTCAAGACTGCTAAACATGAAATAAATTAATCTACTTGACACCTTACTGGTGTCAAAATTACTTACAGCTGTTTAATGTAAATAAAGTCACCATCCCTCGCCTCCATTTCCTTCTTTTTGAAGAAGATTTCCCGTTACAGTGAACCTTCTACGAGTCAGCCAAATTCTAAATTTATCTGGGGCGTTTAAGATCAGTCTCGGATGGGAATTGTGTTTTGAAATCAGTTAAAACCTGATAAGGCTCACGCAAAATCAGTAAGTGAAAGGATCAGGAATCAAATCTCTCACTCCTAAGAGAAATAACAGTATGGAGCTAGAAGAACACCGCAGGCCAGGCAGCATCGGAGGAGCAGGAAAGTTGACATTTTGTGTCAGGACCCTTCTTCAGAAATGCCCTGAAATGTCAACTTTCCTGCTCCTCCGATGCTGCCTGCCCTGCAGTGTTCCTCCAGCTCCACACTTATCTCTCACTCCGACATCTGCAGTTCTTACTATCTCTATCAGGAGTGAAGTGTTTGACCATTGGAGTTAAGAACCAACCACTTTCCTCTACAACCTCTCCTCATTCATAGCAAACCTCAAGGACCTTCACTGGCCACTGAAGGAGATTGGAGATTTTAAAAAAAAGGTGGCATTTGCTTTTGAGCCAGTGCCATGTTTGTGATGAGAATGAAGCAGATTTTGAAATGAATTAAAAAGATTAATTAACCAATACAAAGACTCTATATCAGAAGGATTTCATATTTCATATTCCATTTGCAGAATGGAAAAGTACAATGTTCAAGTCTCCTACAGTCATACACGTGATAGTTCTAGACTAAGTGGAACACAGTCAGTGGATTTTCTTTATGCTTGAGTCTATTGTACACATGTTAGAGGTAAACATCAAAACAAAGGTCAGGGCTGTTAATGCACAGAACATAGGCTTCAAGGTCAGGTTTAATATTCAACATCACTTAGAATAAAATTATAGGAGGAGTGACTGTTCCATAAATAATGTTGGGATGCATGTTGTTGGCCACCTTTAATATTGCATTACACAGGAGTGCCATTGTTAAGAGCACCCATTATACCAGTGAGATCATTGGGCCAATGAACTTCTCTGCATTGTATTTACGATCTCTTTAAAAAATAAAAATCAACAGTCGAAGATGCCACAGCAAACGAGCTATAGATAAACTTCATGAAACACAGCAATTCAGTTATTGGCAGGTTGCTGTCCAGTTAATTGGAGTGATTTTAAAATCTTTCATTTATTGTTTCAGCTCATAATACGCCCAGATTACTTTCTAAAGCATAAAATGTTCCTTATTTCACATCATCATCTCTGGCTCAATGTGGATAGTGCAGAATAATTTATGTAATTAGCTGAAAACAATGGATGTAGTGATGTAAAGCAACCTTTTAATTAACTGTATAAAAACCTGGCAATGACCGATTCACTAAGGTTTGTTACAGAATTATTGCAGTGTCCCTGAAACTGTTGTATTTAGATGAATGTAGATACACTGGCCCCTTGAACTTCTCTGCCGTTAGTGAGTATTCTCCCATGTAATACAGTGGGAGGATACCCAAGAGCATCCATCCTAGTTCACTGGATATTCAGAAACTAGAGAGTATCATTTTAGATGACACCATGCTGAATACTTAAAGACATTCAGCTGTAATCAAAAATCATGAGACCCAGTCTCCCCTCTTATATTCACTCCGTGAAGTATTTTAACGAAATTGTCAAGATTCAGAGACTGGTCACGGTAACAGCAATCTTGCACTCCGAGCCAAGAACAATTGAGAACTTATGACAAACTGTGAAATAGCATTGGATGAAGGTTCATATCTTTATTCAACTAAAAAAATGCTCATTTGAAACAAGGTACCGATGAATTATCAAGAAGTTATGCTGTATTTGTACATTAGGTAATCCGTGCCAATATTATTGGGAACTGGTGGGTTAAGGTCCTGACCACATGTTTGATGGACAAAAAAAGTGCCCAGCTGGCACTGCATATAAAATCCCTTTTAATGAAGTCACAATTTAACTAGCCCCTAATTGCACTTTGAACATGTGTTGATAGGCATCTACCTGATGTCCAGTAGAATAATTACCAGTTTATCCCACAACGGTTCTGCACTTTCAAAATCAAGAGGAAATTTAAATTTGTGGATTACGATAGGCCTGGTGTTAATTAGCCTCGGGTGAACAGACCGCACTCAATCCTAGTTCAAGTCAAACATCATTTTGATACTTTCATTACACACATGCATACATTCCCATTTATAAGTGGAAACTCTATGCCAACATATCACACTGTAATTACACCATCAGTGGGGGCACTAGAGCTCAGACATCCCATTATAAAGGGAGTCAAAATGTGTTAATCAAATAAACATTTTGTCAGGAAGGAATTGCCAAAGGCAAATTTATAAATACAATTCATATTGAAGTATTATGCTGCAGTTGCACCATCCACACAGCATTAACTGCTTTACTATTGGTAACGTGTAACCAACATTTCCTCAGAATAAAGCAACAAGACTCACCTATTTTGTTCTTGCCCTCTTCATATTTGACCCTTTGCAAAATGTGGTGCAGGATTCTGCTTCTCATTGCATTGTTGAAGAACGTGTCTTTGTTGTTTATAATGAAGCTGAAATTACACGGAATGGATTTTGCGGTCAACGATCAGAACATTGTTCTCAGAAAGTTGATTTTTTCTTTGCTTTTAAAGACTAAGAAACCCCTGAAGAGGCAATTCAATATGCTCAGACCAAAAGCCTGGCCAGCAACTAAAAAGAGTTGAAGAAAATAACCCAAAAAACACCATTTCCTGGATGAATTCCCCAGAAGAAGATGACTAGCAATGGATTCATTACAACATATCCAAATGGAAATTCCTCGCTCAAGTTCCACTCTACCTTGAATTTGGGAAATGTAATCACTATTTGCTCATTGTTACTTGGTCAAGCCCTTGGACAGTATATGTAATCTTCTTCACAAGATGGACTACACAGCGGTTCAGGAAGGCAGCTCACCACCATCCTCTCAAAAGGGATGATGGATTAACAATAAATGTGACACCATTAGTACCTCCGCCACCACAGAAGATTTTATAACCAAACCGAGTGCTTTAAATATTCTATTTCCGTTAAAAAAAACTCCATCAGCAACTGATTCTTTACACGCTGTTGTGGGAAAGGAGTTAGGGACAGAATCTTTAAAGTATAGGCACTCAACAGGATGTTGCCAATGAACACAGACATGTTCCAACTGGATTAGAAATAAGAAAAAAAAAAAGAACAGACGAGAGGAGAAAACAGTGAGGCTGCAGGGTTCTGACAGGGGGATTCAGAAGCGTGGAACATTAACTCTGTTTCTCTCTCCACAAAGGCTGCCTGATCCATTGAGCTTTTCCATTTATGCGTTTTTAGTTGCAGTCTGCAGCAAATTAAGTATTCCGATTTTCAATCAGCCCAAAGATCTTAGTGTCTCATCAGCAGCTAGCAAAATGAAACTAGCCAACAGGGAGGTACTTCACTTTCTGGATCAAAATTAACCTCAGTCATGGTCAACGTGGTTTCAGAAGGAGCACATCCTATTTATTTTGCTTCCCTCAACATCATTTTGAGAGAGCTGTTGAATATTCTAAGATCTCAGTCAAGGTTACTGCACATGTTTAAGGCACGGACACCCGAGGAAATCGAACATTTAAAAAAGGGAGCAGCAGGTTACGATCAAGAGTTGGATGCTAGACTGTAGAGATACCCTGATACACAATCACAAATTGCAGAAAGCAGCCTCTGAATACAATAAAATGACCTGGATTGGGAAATGCTAAGTAAATTGGCCAAGTTTGGAGATTCAAATATGGTCTTGAAACATTTATTAGGGAGGCATGGTATTTTAAAAAAAAAAAGGAAAGAATTTAGAACAGACATAAGGAAGTATTTCTACCTCCATTCATGTTGAACATTGCAGGAATTGAGATGGCAGTTTTGTGAAAGACATTAATAAGATCTTGCTAACTGCAACCACATTATGTTATAAATGCTGGATGTGAGTCATCAGTTTGTAACAGCTGCAGCATGTACATCAGGCAATTAACAGGTTCCTAAAATTCCAATTTCCTTGGCAATTACCCAAAACTAAACCGGTAGAATAGAATTGTTTGAAGATGTGCACGCCTGCAGTTTGCAATTAGCCAGGTTTTGTTTTGCACAGGAATATTAACTTTCAGTAAAGTGCAAAATACTTAAAAATTGATTCCAGTTTTAGGTAGTTCAGAATGGGATGGATGCAGGTCAAACTATTTGGTAAAACAAACAAAGGCAGGACCTACAGTTAATGGTAGGCTCTTGGGGAGTGCTGTCGAATAGAGACCTAGGGGTTCAGGTACATAGCTCATTGAAAATTGCATCACAGGTAGGCAGGGTAGTTAAGGTCAATACAGTGTGGAGCTGGAGGTGGTCAGCGTTTTGGGTGAAACATCGACTTTCCTGTTCCTCAGATGCTCCCCATTGTATTAACTCCAACTCCAGCATCTGCAGTTCTTGCTATCTCCTGGGGTGGTTAAGGCAGTGTTTAGCACACTTGCCTTCATTGCTCAGACCACCGAGTCAAGGAGTTGGGACGTCATGTTGAGGTTGTACAGGACATTGCTGAGACCTCTTCTGGGGTAGTATATGGTTCTGGTCACATGGCTATTGTTAGGATGTTATTAAATTGAAAAGGGTTCAGAAAAAGATTTATCAGGATGTTGCTGGGAATGGAGGGTATGAGTTAGGGAAATAAGCTGGGACTTTCTCCCCGCCCCCGGAGTGTAGGAAGTTGAGAGATGACCTTATTAGTGATTTATAAAACCATGAGGGTCATAGATTAAGTGACTAGCAAAAGATCTTTTTCCTCAGGGAGGGGAATTCAAAATTAGAGGGCTTAATTTTAAAGGTGAGAGGGGAAAGATTTAGAAGGGACCTGAGGGACAACTTTTTCAACACAAATGGTGGTTCATATGTGGAATGAACTGCCAGTAGAAGTGGTAAATGCAGGCACACAGTTACAACGTTTAAAAGACATTTGGATAGCTACATGAATAGGAAAGATTTAGAAGGATATGGGCCAAATGCTGATAAGTAGGACCAGTTTAGTTTGGGATACTTGTTTGGCATGGAAGAGTTGGTTTGAAGGGTCTGTTTCCATACTGCATGACCTGTATATCAGTTGGTTGAGGAGATTGCACATCAGCAAATCTCAACAGAGATAGTAAGAACTGCAGATGCTGGAGAATCCGAGACAACAAGGTGCAGAGCTAGATGAACACAGCAGGCCAAGCAGCATCATAGGAGCAGAAAGGCTGAC